TCACCTCAGCTTTCTCACTTCAGCCCAGTAACACAGCGGGCGGCTCCATCCCGGCCGGTCCAACGACCCGCCCGCCTCGCCAGTCTGCCCTCTCACTCGGCCCGACCCGGCCGCCCCCCGACACTCGTATCCAGCCGACCGAGGTCGACCCGCCGCGCTCCGGTTTTACGATAATAACCGGCATAACCGCGGCCGACATTTGACCCGGCCCCAGATGGTGATTTCGCCGATGCCACCGCTGGCCGGCTAACCACCGCTGGGCCGGAGGTGGAGACGTCAGCACGACGAGATATCCGGCCACAGCGCCGCCGGGACGCCGTCGGGACGAGCGGTGCTGACGCGAGCATAGATAGGAAACCCTGGATGTGACGCTCTGCTGTCGTCCAGTGAGGCAGACGATAACAGTCACGATGTGCTCTATTTGCATCAGCGACACGGGGCCCGCTCGTCACCTGCTCACATGACACTGACACACCAGGCAGTCAACAGTCACGTGACGGTGCACCTCGTCCGCCCGGGACCAGAGGCCGGACGGACGGGGACCGGGCGCCGCCGTTTGGCACGGCCGGTGTTCCGTTGCAGCGGGCCGGAGCGGCGGCCAAGGCAAACAGAGCTGGCCGGCGCCGATGACGCCGACTTCACGGTGAAGGGCAGTGTCTGGCCGTCGCCGGATACCGCTCATCAGAGCGACGTCCGCATTCCGCCGGCGGGCGGAGGCAGCGCGGAGGCGAACTGTCACACTCGGCCGGCCGCACCGCCGCAGACCGGAGGCAATCACCCTTCTGGGGCAGTCGATCGAAAATAAGGAGCAGCCCGCACAGTCGCCGTGGCCGCCGAGCAGCTGTCAGCGCTGAATAGGAATTGTTGAAGCCTCTGCGACTTTGACGCAAACAAATTTGTTACAGCCTCTGCAACTAGCAGCTTAAAATATTGACAAAATGAAGGAGACAAAGTCACTGTGTTTTCTTAGCGGTCTCCGAGAGGGCAATTTCCTAAAATGTCGACAAAGAAATGATGCCAGCTTTTGTCCCAACATCACGGCTCAAGCCAGCCGGATGGCATGACAATGTCAGATAAGTTTGAATCCCGTTTGCAGTGCCGAACATAATTGAGGCATTAATATTCAGCCAAGATGGTGTCAGGCAGTTGAGCCGATGCCGAAGACGTGTACATACCCACCCCATCGCGGCTCGGTCAACTATACATAACCCACATACCGGTAACGTACGGAGAATTCTAAGTAAATCTCGCCGCAGCTCTACTCTAGCGTCGCCGTGCACCCGACTGGGCCACAGAGAAGCCACTGAAGGGCAGGGCGGAGTGAGGTGGACGTGGCAGGCCGAGTGGGATCGTGGCAGTCTATGTGCTCACGAACCGAGTCCTGACGCTGCCAGCGACCCGAGATACATGGCCGTTGTTTCAGAGCTGCCCGAGCAGCTACCTTACACCATCGCCCATCACTTGTCACTTCAACTACCCCATACAGTTCTGCACCGCGCAACTGCACTTGGATACGACCACGCCTCGGTGAGCCGGCGAACGACATGACGCGTCAATGTATCCGGATCAATGCGTCTGCAGAGTTGGGCTCTCATCGCTGAAGTTTCAGTCCTACCCTCCCCGCCCCCGCCCGGCCGCTCCCAGGGGACCGGCAGGGCGTGGTGAGCGGCGGAGACACCAACCACCGCATAAACCATCGGTTCGACAAGCGCGTGCGTTCGACGTCCACCGGCCGCCGCCCTCAGCTGACATAGCGACCACGGTCGTGACCCAAAACCAATGTTTACTGCTGCCGCCGATGCCGCCATAAACAATGGAAACACGGACCGACGGCCGCCCTCCATCCAATCAGTGGCTCGCGCACAGCCGACGCCCTGTGTTCTCGACCCGTTACAGACGGACGAACAATCCACTCAACGAGCGACCGAAAAGAATCGATCTATTTTGAACACTGAGAGATGAAGTATTGCCGGCGTGTCTGCTTAATGCTTATTGGATGTCTCAATGTTCATTGCTCACTACCGAAGGTGAACGAAATGAAGCATACAAAACTGCATTACAGCGAAAAGATTCCAACGATGAGCTCAGGTTTCAAAGCCACAAAACTCTATAATTATTGGGAAGGAAGGGGGCAAGGAAAAACGTCAAAAGTTTCAGTCTATACAACTAAGCTTACCCAACCAATCACATTAGACCGAAGAAAGACAGCGGCGTGTGACTGCGTTTTTCCGAACGCTATGATTAGGCCTCATCGGCGTCAGCTGCTGTGGGAACGCAAATGACGTACGCCGACAGTATGGAAAACAAGCGAAAGCCCGACGGGATACCAACGCGCCTCCGTGGGTCAAAACGGATCAAAGCGAGACAGATGGCATGACTCTAAGATGAACGAGCTCATTTCAGCTTTGACGTCTGGGGCTTACGCTAACCAGATGTCGTGGTCCAAGACATTGTCAAATATGCCAGCTTGGAATTTCAAAATCGTGTTCAAATAGCCAATGGAAATTTAAGGGACTATTTCAGCTAGGCTAAACACCAACGTACAGCAGTAAACCTGAAAAACAAGCACCTAGCCTTGTACTCAATAATGATGATCAATAGGCGACGAAAATCATATTCAGCAACATAAAAGCCCCGTCAGCTCAACTACAAACGAGCGGTGCACTTGCATTAGCACCCAATAACCCCTGACATTCTCCGAGGTACGGCGGTAAATTTTGACCCGGCGCTCCGGTCATCATCAGCGCCTCGCCATCGACCTGAGCCGGCCGGCGGAAATCAGGTCAGCCGTGCTCACCGGCATCGGAAGCGACCACCCATCAGCCGGCGGCGGGCCCGCGGCGCATCGGAGCGCCCTCGGCGGAGTGCCGGCCGACCCGGCCTCTCCGGGAAATTCGAGTCGCTGCTGCCTTTCCGTTAGATCGGCACGGGCAGGGGCAGAATGGTACCCACCGCAGCACGGCGCTCAACCGCAGGTGCTACGGCGAGCTGCGGCGCAGTGTAGCCCAACTGTGGCGCAGTGTGCCGTGCGTCACACCAAGTGTGCGTGACACGCTCCAGCAGCGCACCGACAGCTGCGTGACACGATGTCGCGGACGGCAATGAGGACTGCGGCACACACCGGCCGCCCGTCATATTACGTCCGAATGGCGGAAAAACGGATCACATTAGCTTTGCAATCAAATATAGAAATTTGACTAACCGGTTCATCTTTTACAAAGCAGGCATTCTAGGTAAACTGAACTCAAACTGATTGTAACACAGCCCACTCCCTTGAGGTGGGGTGGGGGGAGGGGGGGGGGGGCAGAACCGTTTCGCCCAGGCAGCCACGATGCATATTCAACATGCCAAAACACACATCGCCGGTTGGGCTGCCGGTGTCGGTGAGGCGCCGCTCCCCGGTCGCTCCGCGATGTTGGGTTCGAACCCTCGGCACGGGTCAGGTCACGTCTGAACTCCCAAGATGGCCGCGACCCTAGCGGCTGTTTACCAGGCCGCTCTACACACATCGCTAGCGTGACAATCGACCGCCGTCTTCGACGCTAACGGGGAGGGGAGAAGGGGGAGAGGGTCGTAGTACTACCTCGCGATAGCGGAGACTTGATCAAAGTTATCTATTAGCTAACCATTATCTATTAGCTAACGGCAGAGATAAGATCAACCCTTGCAATATTGTTGATATACATCTGGGCACTCTCGAGGGCAGGATACAATTCACGCTGTGAAGAGCATGATTAGAGCTGCAAGTGTGTAATCAATCTGAGAGAACATATTGCGGTGTCATGACGGAAAACTAATTTTTTTCAGGCTGAATAGCCGTAAAAATAATTTTGCTGGGTAATAAATCAGCGAGGTTGCAGCCCGATTGAAAATTCAATAGTTGATCGACTTGATAACAGCGTTCATGAGCAAGGTGACAAGCTCAGTCTGGACGAAGAGAGCCGCATGATAAAAAAAAACAATAAAACAGCCAGTATAGCAAAGTGTTGCCAACAAACCATCATCACTTACACCAAAGTTGATCAAGAACTGACTATATATAAAAAAAAAAAACAGGAAAACCAAGGCTAATGATGAATTCCTGATAAAATAAAATTTGCCACCGGTTCATTACGTAACATCTTCAAACGTCAGACGTCACTCACGTCAAGTCGACCTAGCGTTGTCGCCCGTTGGCACTACTCAGATGACACGAACCGCCACTACAGATACCGTTGACGTACTCGGTCGGACCTCCGACCCCAGCGCCGCAGCGTCGGATCAAGGACGAGAGATAAGCCACTGACTCGGGACGGTATGGCCGGCCGTAGGGCACTCACAAGTGATTCGCACCAGCCTCTCAACGGCAGAGGGTTGCGATTGACGCGAGCGGTGTAATCAATGATGTCACAGAGGTGTTGTTTATCGGATTGAAGTGCAATCTCTTTATATTATTTTTATATAAAAGACTTTTAGTTGAAACCGTTATGTAAAGGAAACCTTAAAAGATGCATGAAACTTACAACGCCTTCTATCTCCTTTTTTGTCTTTCAATTACATGAACAACCAAAAGGGTTTGAGCATGGAAAATCACATGAACGATCTAAAATCGAACATGAGACGAGACCATCCCAACAGTTCACAACGGGACACGCGTTTGTAGCCAATCTCCTGAATAGTGAATACTATATTTCTAAGATAAGGTGTTCTTTGAACGCACATACAAATTGAATACCCATTAGGACTTTACCTTTAGCAGCAAGTTTGAAATCAACATTATTTTAAAGATAAGTACCAGCAAGCACAGAAAAAACGAGCCCTAAGCACGAACCGGGTCCGTCCAAGTTGTTCCCAGAGGTTCACACAAAGCGACCGTTTCCCGTCACACCAGCAGCACAGGGGTGAAATTTGCAACAGTTAAGTTAATCGCCCGTTAGCACGCAAGCTACCGGACTAAATATGCAGCGCTTCCAGGAAATTTCATAGGACTCAGAAACGATACCCATCGTTCACGTACCTACCTTTTTCAGCTATGCTAGTGACATCAAAAGATCTGAAAAGAAGATACGCAGGGTCAATGAAATGCAATGGTATGAAGGGAAAATACACTGACGATCAACAGCTGATAACTGTTGATCGCGCTGCAGACTAGGTAGTCAACTGATTTAGTCCAGTGACACTTGGTGACGAGGCAAAGTACCGTGCCTGGTTGGACCGAACATCCCTCAACTGATGTGGCAAACACACTAATAATTGATGAGATGCTGACGATGTAACCAGCTCATAACAAATGTCATACTGGTAATTCAACAAAACGTTGTGAGGAAAATAAGAAACAAGTAAGAAGCATACACTTGTTTCATAGGGCAAATCATTAAAGGGTTGGAGCAAGACCATGGTCATCTATCTGCTACAACTGGTCACGGTATATTTATTTCCAAATAAAACAACCACCGAAAGGGATAATTGTGGGCAGTTCAACAGTATAAATGCAGGAATATATGTACAGCAGGACTGTAGTGATAGGAAGACTTGTCTTCTGGATCAATTCCGCCAATGCCAATAACTGGCAGGACAGATATTAAAGGTAGTGTGCCACCTTTGAAAGATTTCCCATTTTATTTTTCCTAGGATAAGAAGCTTCTGTTTTTACCTAATATCGCAAAGAAAATCAAAAATGGGCCTGAAATAGTGCCTTTTTCGCCTAAAAGTTTATCGGTTTTTCTATATGTATAACAACTGTAGTGGGCTGACCTGCAAACAGGCGTCGGCAACAATCGCGAATGCGGCGCACATGTGACAATAAGCAAAGGTCATTATAGAGTTACGACGTACGGGAATGAGTTATCAGCTGTCTAATCGTAGACAACACAATGTCGAGCCTTAAACTGTAAGCCTGTATTGGTATTGTTTCTTTTATTTGGCTGTCGAACATTATTTATGGTTTGAAATATGATTTTATGTAAAATAATTGATATGAAAAAGCCGTCTCTTAAGTTATGACCCCATTCCACCACACGCAAGTGGCAGAAATGACAATGATCAGCTGACGCATTTTTCTTGGCCGAAGTCAGAGCGCGCGGCCCGACGCACCACCACCGCACCACAAAGTATGAGCAGAAGCCACGCCCAAAGCCAGGGCCCCGGTAACGTGAGGTAGCCGAGTCGGGGCAGCGTGCGCTGACCCAAGCCGGGGCCGCAGCTTTGGGCGCGGTCTACCGCATCCCCGCGGGCAGCCCCGGGCTATCACATGACACCGGGAGGACGCGCGGCCCCGGCTTGGGTCAGCGCACGCTGCCCCGACTCGGCTAACTCACGTTACCGGGGCCCTGGCTTTGGGCGCGGTCTACCGCACCACCTAACAGGCGTGTTCGAAACCGCAGGAGATGATGATGAACGGGTTTATCGAAACTTGATTGGATGAGCATATCGGTAATAGCGATTTCAGTGTTTGCATTTATTGTTCATAGTGGTGTGAAATGTGGTTGGGGTACGACCGACAACCCGTCGGGGCGAATTTCGCACTGGGGTACTCAAAATTTGAAGAATTTAAGACGTTTCCATGAGTTTTGAAGGTATGGATAAGTTCTAAAAATCCGGTTCTCCTTATCTGGGCCATTAACTCCATACGGTCCAGGAAAGCTGGCACACTACCTTTAATAGGATAGAGGCCATCACCAACGTTCCAGTAAAGGCACACGAAAACTGCACCAGCACATAACGTACTATCCATTATAAACAAATAATCCCAAACCTGGTATGAACTCAGTTCTCAAGCGAAGCTCAAGATGATAAATTATGCAACCGTTGTTTATGGCACTGCACATGATCAAAGAATGCCTGAAACATGTCCATTTATTTTCCTCTGATCAGCTCACACCATTAGTGTAAAGGGTTCGCGCTCACGCCCGTAGAAGATAAACCTACGTGGCAGTGACGCTGATCCGATCAGCATGCCCCCTCAGTAAGGAACCGTACCACGAAACAAAGCACGTGGCACCTTTGAGAACCCGTGCTGTTACCAACAAGAAAGGGGGCAGCCACAAGCGCCCATATTTAGGAAGAGCTGAGTCACCTTTTCCTGCCCGCACCTCTATCCAGCTAATGAATGGTCGATGTATAAAACCGCAAAGGTCTATAAACCCTGATGTCCAGTCTTCCCGGGATTGAAAGTGGAGCTCAGCGCTCACCTGTGCTCGATTTTCCGTGTTTTCGCCACCGTTATTCCACAGACAAAGTTGAGGACAGCAAAAGTGTGTGGTAGCAGCGTCATCGGAAAACAGCGTCCACCGCACGGCATTGTTCCAGCTGCGGCCCTCCCCGGGAAATGGGGGCGGCCGGCCGGTGTCACCCAAACGGTCACTCAGTGACAACGATACAGGAAAACCGTCACCAAACGGTCACCGATCAGTGATCAGACATTGGTGACGGACCCCACACAGTCGGTGAACCACTGTGTCCAGTCCCACCACTATACAGCCGCTGACACCCAACACCAGTCACCATCAGCTGTCCACCAGGCTCAGTAGCCGGCTCGGTAACCAGAGACCGATGACGGCCCACTCAGCAGCCACTGTGCGGCATTCCACGACCCATGACCAGTGACGTCAATACACCGACCGGCCGGTGACGTCACTGCAAGCTGACCGTCGCCGGCCGGCCTGTTGCCAGCGGAGCGCGACTCCACGCTGCGTCCGGCGGTATCGCACGGCGGCGCCGTAGCGGCGTGCACCGCCCCGCGTGGCCGTCCGAGCACACACCGCGATAGCGGGCGGCCACCAGGGGCGTCGCCAGCGCCGCCAAACTTATGGTGCCAAACCGGCGCCTGGAGCACAACAAACGCCCGATAAACTCACCTAACAATCACCATGCCGTCCGAACGGCCTAATTGCACGTCTGTGCGGCCGACTCCGCCCTGCAGACGGCGGTCGACCGGCGGACACAATGACCACCCCCGGTCGGTCCGAGGACGTGCATCACTGGGGCGGCCAGCGGCACGCGTGGGCGGCGCGACACGATAGCCCGGCCGGCCGGAGAGCTAGGGAGACCGGCGGCGACGGAAAGCTGCAGCAGGCCGTACCGTACCGAGCGGGGCTGCTCAGCGGTGGTGTCGGGTCGGGGTGAGGTCGCGGTCCCAGCTGTGTGCATGGGTAGCCGAGCGGCGCCGGCTGAGTCACCGGCGGCTCCGGACCGGAGCGGGGCGGCCGGCGGGGCGTGGCGGCGGGCTCCCCGATGACGGGTCGCCCCTGGCCGGACGGCCAGCTGGCCCGTCTCGGCGGGCCGCCCCACCGACTCCTGGCACCGGCTCCCGGCTACCTGTCAGCCGGCGCCCGGTGGTGGCAATGGAACTGGGCCGTCCGCCCGGCCCAGCTGGCAGCCATCAGCCGCCGCCGTCAGCGAACACAGTCAGCAGACAGCAGAACACTGAACTATCAGCAGCCGACAATCAGCGGGCCGGCAGTCAGCAACCAACAGCCAACAACAGCAGGAGTCAGAAACCAGCCGCCAACAGCCAGCATTGAACATACCCTCAGACTGTGAACGGGCTGCTTCAGCCCTCATCCGCCAACTCTCCGAAGCCCGCCGCGCAGCCTGCCAACTGTAGACAGTCCCCCAGTGACATGGGTCTGAGTGCAGTCATCCAGTGACACAGACCACAGCGCAGTCACACAGTCCGACCACCTCACTCGGCAGCCACCGCAGCGATGCACGGGTTCCTCGCCCGCCGCATCACGCCGTTCGCACGGCCCGAAAATTACTCATATAAAACGGCCGCAGCCGACAACCTAATCACCCTGTTTATACAGCTGCGAGCAAGCATTCCCAAGCAAAGTACTGGCATCTGACGCCTAGGCATCATTGGAAAGGCTCGCAAATATCAAAAGGGGAAATGGTTTGGTTAGGCTTCCGGATGTGTATAACCGCGCACAGTAAACGGTTTAAAATATAAATTTTCCAACTGTAATATTCGTTTAACTCCTCCGAAAGACACTCAGTAGCCCAATGGATCGTCAACATGCCTAAATATGGCGTAGAACATGTAAAAATAATGACTTATGGGTCTCCGTCATCGTTATTTAATTAACAACTAATTTCAAAGCCTGAGCTCCTTAACGTCAAAGTCGCCAGGTGGAAATTGTAAAGCGAAACCGAAATACCTGCACCACCTAACGAGAACCAGCCTCATTCACAGGGCACCTACGCGGGCTGAAGTCAGTCCAAACATCACACTAGGGGAACATTAGTCATCGGCAGTTAGCACCACAACAACGCGTCAGTGGAGATACGCGCACTTACGCTGACGGTCATCACCATTTCATTAAAACCTCCCCAAAAAAGGCTCGCTCATATGCTGAGGTGACAGCTTTCCCACAGTTCCCACGAATTGACGTCCAGCGACATCCATGTAAAAGTTTGGGAATAGGAAAGGTAGTGACATTCGAAGGCGACATCGTCTTGACAGGCATCCAGTACGCAAAGGGTCGCTACCGACTCAGTGTCGAATTCCGATCCGGCAGCCGATCGTTAATCCCTAAAGGGCTCCGTATTTCTGATAATGATCTCCGGATTAGTAAGAATACACCCGGATTCGGCACCTTTCACCGTATAAAAATGGCGGCGATGGAAAGACCACCGACCACATCACGGGCTTTTGTCAATCCGTCATGAAGGGCAAAAGTAGTCAATGGTCAGCCCGTTCTGTGCATTTCTGCGGCGAGCCTTCTCCCTTCTGTATGATAAACTGCAACCTGGTCCAATGGCGTCAATCACCATTAGACAATTGTCTTATAAATAGCACAATCAATGCGATAACCAACTTGAATGCAAGTAGAAAAAAAACATGAAAACCTATTTAAGAAAGTTGTATGTAACGAATGTGGCAGGGGAAAATAGAATGGCGTCGTCTAACTGGGACTTCGCTTCCCACTCTGCGTTTTTTACTCTTTCATCTGGCGGCTGTGGCCACTCTACTCACCCCCGCAATCATCCAAAGCCACGGGGGCTGGGCAGAGACGGCCGTCGTCGACACGGTCACACACCGACAGCCGGACG